AGAAATGCATTATCAGGAAGTTCACATATTAGCAAGGGCTGCTGAGTCCACAAATACTCAGTGGACTGCATTTTTTTAAATTTAAGCCAATCCCTGTAAAAACGCATGATGAACAAATCAAAATATATAGACTTTAAGTATTTATTCTACCTTTCCATCAACAGGACATGGTGAGCAAACAGAGAACTAGTTTCAAAAACAAGATTCTTTGAGATATTTTAAAAAGCCCAGTGGTGCAAGAGTTAGTTCCCCCTTCAGCAGGTCACATGTGCAAAATTGTTCATTGTTCAAATATGTTAATCTTTGCAGTTACTTTTGAAGGCTCGGAAGACTCTCTAGAGGCTTAATTCACGGAGACTTCACTGTATACCTAAAATAGCTAGTTAACAAACATTATATCTACCCTGAAGTCACTTTTTGGAATGGCAAAGATTAAGGGAAAAGCTTTTTTCACTCTTAATTGAGAAGTCGTTAAAATTTGTAGGAGTAGTGCATTCAAATGAAATTGACAGAAAAAAAGTGTGTGCTTAAGCCTAATTTAATTGCAAACCTAGATATAGGAATATGTTTCTTTTTTGCTTCATTTTTCTATATTAATTAAACTATTACTGGAACTGCTCATGCATCCATTTTTATTAGTTGCTCAAAATTATTAGATATTAGGTTAAAATTAGATGAGGTTAGACTAGTTATCAAAGTTATTAGGTGCTCAAAATGTGAAATAAACTCATTTTTTATAAAAGAGTCATCTGAAACTGTTCGTTACATGACAGAAATAATTTTAAAAAATAAAAACAAAACAAAAATAAGACGTATATTCTTTCAGAAAGAAACAGAATCAAACATAAAAAGATAAAGTGTTACACAGGTATGTCACACAGCTGTGAGCAAGCTAATTTAAATTGTTTTACTGATAAGTATAATAAATATTTGATTAATAACTTTCTCTATACATCCTGTATTATCATATTTACTTCATGAATATCACACGGTTATACAAGTTTATAACCACTCTCCTGTTTATGAAGAATTCAAGGACTTCCTTTAAGTAATGTCATTTAAGTACTTAGCATAATGACAACTCTCCTAATCAAACATTTAATCCAATGCAGCACAAGCTAAGTTTTCTCTTACACTGAATTTTTAACCTGCTTTTCAATCAACAGAAGCACAGACAAGAATAGCATATTGATCCTAAATAATTACATGTAAAACTACCTCTGTGGTATAACATAAATCCTGAAAGACAACAGATGGTCAGCATTGTTATTCATTTCAAAAAGTAAAAACAGAATTTGAACCTGCAAACATTTCCACATTTTTGACATCCTCACCAACATTCTGAACATAGGTTTTCACATTCTTGACAGTTCAGAGAAGTGGCTGGAAATTCATTTATACCAGATGGGGTAGCTCCTACTTTAATTAATCACTATCTTTTTAGCGAAGCTGATATAATCCTTATAGAAGTAGTTCGAATATTAGCAAGATAATCCAACTAATAGCACATAAAAGACAATTTTCAAGGATATAATTCTTTTTAATATAAATGTAATTCAATTATTTATATATATATTTATATTTATATATTGCACAACAAAAATGGACTGAAAGGAACAAGTCACAGTTAGAACAACAATTCAGCATACTAATGCAAAAACTTCTCCACTTTTAAAACATTCCTTTTCCTTTTCTTGATAACAGAGAAGGAAGATTAAAAAAAAATGCTTCTCTAAAAGGTGATACTACTACACCATATTTATTACACCATATTAACATATTTTATTACACCATATTTATATCATATCATAAGTATGAAAATATGCCACCATCTTCACTTTGCTATTCATTTAATGCTGATTTTTCAGGGACAAAGTGAACTCACTGGTAGAACTGAGGCCTTGTATAGCACCACTAATTCATTTTTATTTCATTTTTTTTAGCTGTTTAGCTCATAAGTCAGAATATATATATTTTATTTAATTTAAAATTATAACATTTGAGAAAATTTCACTCAAATAAGGAAAATTTCATATTGTGAACAGAGAGATTTATTATTAACTGAGATGGAAAAATAAGTAAGAGCCAAAGGAGAGGGTGGTGGCAGCCATTAAGTGCAAATATTCATTTATTTAGAAATTATTAATTTTCCAAAAAGGCATGCAAAAGATATTAAAGCCTTTACTTTTCCAATTTAAAGTAACATTTACATCATGCTTCAATTTAGCGTTACTCTTAATTCATTACAATTCTAAAATTGAGTCACACCGGATTCCAAACAAGAGGTTGTTTCCTTGTTTTCATACAAAAAAAAAAAAAAAAAAAAAAAAAAAACAACAACAACAACAAAAACCTTCCTATATTCAAGCATTACAGTTTTCTATTTTGCTCTTACATTCAATTTTTATGTAAGAAATAGAAGTATAATGACATTCAACTTTTAAATAAATCAGAATCACACATCATCCATCTATAACAAGAAGACATTCCAAGAGACAAACTAATGAACTTACAGTAAGCAGGTGATCCATGCAATACAAACAACTAGATCATGTCCTTGGACTAAAACCATGTCCTTGATCTCTGCATCCTCTGAGGAGCATACCCATGTAAAACTAAAGTTTGATTTTCCGAGTTGATTTAATTCCCTATTTACAACTGGTTACTTGCACTAGTTTTAGGAAACTGTTTTTATTTTCACACTACAGATAAATGAATATTATTTTGGCAAAACTTCTATGAAAGCAAATAAGGTTATCTTTGCAAGAAAAAACAGGATCAAAAAATAGTATTTCCAAATAGCCAGAGGAAAAATTAAATTAAATTAAAATAAAGTAAAACAAAATAATCAAACCATGTAGCATCATGCATGTATTACATTCCATCTACTTCTATACTTTTTCTCCATGTCAAAAGTCACTAAACAACATGACCAAAGGCAGAAGGGTCTGAAAATTTCTGTAAAATTTTTCCTTTGCACACACACTACAACAAAATAGTCTTCCTAGCAATGCAGCTGAAGGAAACTATGTACTGTATCAGCAGATCTCATGCATTAAGAACCATGTTATAGTAAGATGAGATTCAAAGATTTCTGTTACCACTTTTACTGCTTTTTTTTTTTTTTTTTTTAAACAACATCAGGATGAGAACGTATTCAGAAACTCTGAAAAAGTATTGTGTCTTCTTTCCTTTGGCTGGACATCAATTACATTTCTTTTCCAAAGAGAAATTAAAATTAATATTTTATTTACTGCTTTTCCTTTACTTGGTTAATCTCAGAAAGAGAATACAGACAAAACTGATGAAATAGAATGCAAAGACAACCTGGGTTTGTATTATTATAACATTTAAATAGAAAGCTGGCTAGTTTTTTTGGCTCCTTAAAAATGGATATCATTGTAAAAGTTACTTTAAGAGGATCAAAAATATTTAAACTAAATTTGGATTGAGGCCTCAACCTAAAGTTCACAAGTACTAAACTGTAATCAAATGGAAAAAACTCGTGCAAGCAAATTCAAAATATATCTGTGGTATCAGTCTAGGCAGACATCATACTGCAAACACATCAACCATCACCAAGTCCTTGGCTCTTTACATACTAAGTAAAAGCCAGTTTTCTTCACATACTAAGTAATAGCCAGTCTTCTTGAGTTTATATTTTAATCTCAAGTTTTGGTTGAGGAATAATTTACAATTAGAGTGGTATTCCTTATTTACCTTCCTTCAGTCTACATTTCTAGTCACTAAACTATTGAAGAGAGAACCCATTTCATAATGTTGTTTCAAGTATAATCCATTCAAAACACAAAATATTTAAACCATTGCCCGAAATATAGAAAGATCTGTGCCCTGCCTAAGCATCACTTAAGAGGAATTACTAGTGTTACAATTACTAGTATTACTAGCAGACAACTCCATCTGGAAACAGATTAAAGGCGGGGAAAAAAAAAAAAAAAATGAAATCAGGGCCAGAATTCTAAAATAGTACAACAAAAGACACCTAAAGCACTCCAATGCCAAAAGGAAAATAACTAGTAAAAACAAACCTAATTAATTAATTCTCTCAACATGGGATCAATCCTTAAGGATTTAGTTTTCCTTAGTCCCATTGAGCAAAATAGGAACTTGCAGAAATGTTATCCTATAAATTTTTCGTTATCCAATGAAAAGTGAAAAAGGGGGAAAAAAAAGAATTTCAAGATGACAAAGAATGTACTGAAAAACACACAATCTTACTATTGAAGTTCCCTTTATTTACATATGAAGATAAGCAATCTATAATAACATTATGAAAGATGATGGGCAAACATACCACCTCTGCTAGGTTTCTGAAAAAAAAAAAAAAACACAACACCTATATTTGCTGCATCAACTATCAATCATTTGCTCTTCAACCATGTATCAGGTAGTCCTTTTAAAAATCTCTTTTCCTGTTCACTTTCCAAGGTTACTAAAACCATGAAAAAAATACGTGATCTATTATTTGTATATACATATATACGTATACATACGTATCACTTATATGTATCACGTATATATACGTGATCTACGTATTACAAAAATCCGTAGCCTAAATGAAAACTGCATGAATTGCATAACCAAGAGATCCTTCACCATAAAATATATAGTCAAAAAGATAAATTCAGTAGCTTATATTAAAGACACTGGCTGCAACAAGGTCTTTTAAGTAAGCCAAGTCTTTTAATTCCTGGGGATAAGATGGGGAAAAAAACATTCTCCTTTAACAGATCAATTGTTATATTGTTTTTACACTACATATCTGTAGTATTTAACATTTTCTTTTTTCCATCAAGTTCACATCACACGATAAAAATATATAGAAGCTACCAACTTTTTTGACGCAAAGTTCGAAATCCTCTTAACTATATTTCAAACCATCATAACAATATCTTATTATGTATTTGTAAATTTTAAGATTTTATTTTTTTTTTTCCCTAAAACATATATCATAACCACAGAGATAAAGATTTACTTACCTGATCCTCTTTTGGTCACAACCTTCAAGCTCTGAGTTAGAGTAGCATACAAGAGAATCAAATTTGGAATGGGAGCTTTCATCTTCTATCTTTCCACAGCTGCTCCCTAGAGTTCAAAAAAGAAAATACTGGTTTTATACCGGTACTGAAAAAAAACATTGCAGCAAGCAATTATACAAAATACTGTCACTGTAGAAATTTAGATTTTTTTTTTTTTTGTGAGCAGCTTAACCCACCAAAATGATATATCACTGCTAAAATAAACAAATAAATAAATAAATTGAAATCACCTTAAAGCAAACACATGGATGCACTACATTTAAACCAGGAGCCTGAGTTCTAATTTTGTCTGCATCTTGAAAATTCATTGGGTTCCTGTTAAATCCACGTAACAGATCTCCTGGATCATTATTGATCAATTTATCCTATGAAAAAGTGTGATCTTTGTATTAAACCTGAAAAATCATATTATTTCTTTGAATCATTTTTCCCTAAAATTATTATTATATTAATAATATAATAAAATACTCCTTTTCTTTTCTTTTCTTTTCTTTTCTTTTCTTTTCTTTTCTTTTCTTTTCTTTTCTTTTCTTTTCTTTTCTTTTCTTTTCTTTTCTTTCTTTCTTTTCTTTTCTTTTCTTTTCTTTCTTCTTTCTTTCCTTTCCTTTCTTTCCTTTCCTTTCCTTTCCTTTCCTTTCCTTTCCTTTCCTTTCCTTCCTTTCCTTTCCTTTCCTTTCCTTTCCTTTCCTTTCCTTTCCTTTCCTTTCCTTTCCTTTCCTTTCCTTTCCTTTCCTTTCCTTTCCTTTCCTTTCCTTTCCTTTCCTTTCCTTTCCTTCCTTTCCTTTCCTTTCCTTTCCTTTCCTTTCCTTTCCTTCCTTTCCTTTCCTTTCCTTTCCTTCTTCCTTTCCTTTCCTTTCCTTTCCTTTCCTTTCCTTTCTCCTTTCTCCTTCTCCTTCTCCTTTCTCCTTTTCCTTGTTTCTTTTTTCTTTTTTTTTCTTTCCACATTCATTTATTCCAGAGATTGAGCACAAGATTCACAGTGAAACAAGCAATTAAACACAAATCTGGTCATTTTCTTAGGAATAGTGAAAAGGGAACATTAACAGCCCACCAGAGGAACCAGCAGAGACTCCTGTAATTTCCTTTTATATGAGCTGAAATCCCATGAGCAAGATCAGTCAAACATATTCACTGCAGCAAATGTGAAGTGAATGTTATTAGGATGGGAGATGGATAGATCACAGGTTGTAGCTCAGCCTTCACCTCTAAGACAGGAACAAAGGTTTCTATTTCTATTGCTCATGTTCTTGGGGGATGAAGCAGTATAAGCAGCAGATGAAAATGGGGAGTACATGTTTTGTTAATTTCCTATATAACTCAGAGGGTATAAGAGTGTAATCTAGTCATGATAGTGTTCCAGCTTTGTTTTTCAATGGTTGATAGGACTAACAACCCACATTTCAATGTGTTAAAAGATGGAATGGGGGACAAAGCTGCCTCTGATTAGTCAACCTAGATGGCATAGTCTATTATCTGTACTCAGGATAGTATTTTATGCAAAAAGAGTTATATAATGAAAGAAAGGGCTGTGATCAATGGTTCATTAATATTATAAACAAAGACCAAAAGAAACCAATGTGGTCTTGATATCGACCTCTGCTGATCACAGCACTTTACAGCAACTGGTAACATTTTCAAAATAAACCACATGATATGAGCTTTGATTTCAAAAGAGACTTTGAATCTTTTGCTCTTTCATTGGCAGTCAAGTTACTCTGTACCCAAGATATTTCTGAAAGCAGTATCTTAAAATATCTTTACTTCAGAAGAGAACAGGTTAAAATAAAAAATAGGGGGGATGTAAAAGAGCACATTATGGGAAGAATCACTTAATGATTCTTGAAGAATCCTTCTTCAAGTTTTACATTTCAAGGTATTTGAGAACTAAGTGCAAACTTACTTCATTCATGATTATGGCTTCATTAAAGATGAAAGAGTAAGAGAATACAGTTTGAAAACAGCAGTTTGATATCTAATTTTGATACTGACATTTATATAGAGATGCACACAGGCAGTCACACAGTTTGCTTATTCACTGGCTGTTAGCAAACTCTGGCACTCCTGCACTAATTTAAAGCTCTCAGTGAACCCTACCAACTCCCATCCTAAAACCCTTTTCTGCTGATGGAAAAGCTATTCGTGTCTGTTGTCAGTAGGCTTGGTCTCATGTAAATTGACTGAAGGTCAAAAAACCCAAACCCCTGCCGGTGACACCAGACTCAGAGCCAATTATTAATCCGCTGGTTCATCAGGTCCAGTCCCTCATTATTTCCTGTAACCGGAGGGATAGAGAGAACACTGACTTCTGCTCCTGAACCCTTGACTAGTCTCCCCAAGGCTCTGAAGTCCTTCTTCATAGTCCTTAGAGGAGTTCTTCCTATTTCATCAATGCCTATCTGAAACAGCAAAAGAGGATAATAATCTGAGAGCCATACTATCGAAGGAAGTTTCTTCCTTACATCTTTAACCCAGGACCCCAGGAGGCAGCAGACCTCCCTGTGTAGCAGGTCTGGTCTGCATACTGAGCCTTCATCTCCCTTCAGCAGCAAGTCACCAATGACAATGACCCATCTTTTACTCTTTACTGAGGAGGTTTTAATGCATTGGGTTGTCTGATTAGACTTTGGTGACACCTCCAAGTAGGAAGAACCATCACCCTCACCATTGTCCAGTTGTCCTTGCAGATCAGTGTACCTGTCCTGCAGGGACAGCTGGAGAGGTAGGGGAATCACCAGGCAGGTGGACATACTATGTTTGTAACACCAAGCAGGAACCTTTTGCCATTGCCCCTGCCCCCCAGTTCATCATCTGTTGTTAGGGGGAGAGGAAAAGAGGGGTTCACTGTAGCAGGAACTCTGTCTGCCTGCTGGTCCCCTCCTATTACCTGCTCGCAAGGCGGTAGGGCGTGATGTGTTTCTTATGGAGCCTCTGCTGGCTGCCTAAGCCTGAAGGCTGGTAGGGATTGGCTTCACCAATCTATCTCCCTCTCACTCTCCTTGATGTTCTTCAGCCTCTCCACCTCTTCCTTTAGGAAGAACCTAAGCCACGAGGCTGTGTAAATCATTCATCTGGTCGCATCTGACGCAGGTGTTGTCTTTGTCACCCTGTACTGCAAGGGCCAGGCTCTGGCACTCTCTGCAACCAGAGACCTGTGCAGTCGTATGTTTGTGTGGGGCCTCTGTCTGTGTCTCCACACTTTTCTTGACAACAACCTTCTGCCAGGGCGCAACCATGGCAAAACAGCAGACTCGCTAGTTCTGTCTACAGTAGCTTCCTCGCTAAAATTATAAGTTGTAAGAGGCAGAGCTCCCAGAGAAGACGGAGGCGGAAAAGGGAGGAAAGGATCCTCCCTGCACTCCTCCATGCCTGCCCCTCTCTGAACTGCCAGTGCTAACTGCCAAGCAAGTCCTGTTTGCAGCACTCCCTAGGGATTGCTTCTAGACAGTCAGGGGCTGGCTGCCTCTGCGAGTGTCTACAAAATGGTGGTGATGCCCAATTTAAATGGCCCACCACTGCCGCTGCTGTCTCTCACGAGGACTGCTGGGTCCTGGTGGCTCCCTTGGCTGTCTCGAGCCACCTCAGTGCCAGCATATGGGCCTCTCTCGCCTCATAAGTTCTCTCCCCAGAGCTTACCAACATTTATCTTATGTTTCCACACCTTTTCCTGAAAGCAGGAGAAGCTTTTTTTTTTTTCTTCCTCGTATTATAAAAAAAATTAAAAACTCAAAGAAAAGACGGTGAGTTAAAGATCACTGTAGAGGAGTCGCTGCTTTATGCCTTTGTACATTGTGAGACTGGGGAATCTGGCTCACATCATTCTCATGACTGACTCAGAGCAGATGTCCCAGGCGAATGCCGCAGCAATTGAGCAGTCTACAAATTGTCACCTATTGAAATCAGTTGCAAAGCCAATAAGCAGGTCAAAAGGAAATCAAAAAGAAACATCTCAAGAGGATCTTAAAACAAATCCACAGAAAATTCCTTCTCTAATGTAATGAGTATGTCTGAGGCCTAGATGCTGAAATACATTCAGTTATTTTTTTAACTGAAAAAATAAAAGGCATAATTCTGAAAAGCAAAATTCTTAACACTAACTTCAGTGTGATATCTCATGAACTGGAAAAAGCCTTCCTTCAGCAGTTATTTTATTGTTGTTTTGGTCTGTTCTTTTTGTTTGTTTGTTTTGTGTTTTTTTTTTGTTTTTTTTTTGTTTTTTTACTAAAACAGGTACTTTTTAAATATAGGTAGTAATTTAATATATATATATATTATTTCATGATTAAATGGAAATAGCATGTCTGCTGTTTCTGTAAACAATAAGCAGATATACAGGTAATGTATGCATCAAAAAAAAAAGTCCTTTTTAATTTTTTCTTATTTTTTCTTTTTTTCTTTTTTTTTTCTGGTTTTCAGTTACCTCTTGCAGGAAGCTAATACAATGTATGGTAGAAACAAAATTCATTGCTGTGTCTCAAGTTGTATCAATGCCAGCATATTTTACAAATTCTTCGGCTATGAGGATACTTGACTTTTCAGATGAATAGTAGAATAACAAAATATTTTAAAATCAGGGATTTTTAATTGCCTTCTTCTTTATATGATAGCAAGAACTGAAATATAGTAGTGGGTTGTTTATTTGCATGAATAACTATCAAAAACATGTTGAATGTTTCTAGATCAATATATTTCATGCAAATTTTAACTAGGTATGAAAATAATTTTCAAAAGGTCTTTTTAATAGAGAATGTTATTGCTTCACACAAAAATGACATAGGAAGCCTCTGGCAGCTGCATTGAGTATCTTAGTTTCCACTTTGAGGCAGAAATAGAAATACAGCTGTATCTCAACATTAATGTTCATTGGGGAAATGCCAAGCAAGATTTTTTTTCTTACTTGTTATAAATACTCACTGTAAGGAAAATGCATACACTTACACACATGCTCCCCAAAACAGCTCAGCAGAAATAAAATTAACCACAGTAAAGAAATTCCTGATAAGGGAGGCAAATTGAAAAGAAAAATCTCTTTTCCTAATTTTACTTATG